TGGTAATAGTGATGTAGGCAAATTTGAAGCAACTAATAAAAATAATAACAATATTTTGAAATTGTTCTTATTACTATGATCATTCTTATTCTCATTATAGTTATTAATATTATCATTATTATCATCATTGTTATTTTTATTATTATCATTATCATTATTACTATCATTATCATTATCATTGTTATCATTAGTTTTACTATTACTGCTTTTAATTGTTACTGTTATTATTACAACCATCATTGTTATTATTATAGTTTATTATCATTATTATTATTATTATTATTATTATTATTATTATTATTATTATTATTATTATTATTATTATTATTATCATTATTACTATCATTTTTATTTTTACTACCATTGTTATCATTATAATTGTTATTATTATTATCATGACGTTGATGAGGATGATAATAACAATAATAATGATAATGACAGTAATGATTATTATGGTCATTATCATTACAATTATTGTTATTGTTATTATTATCATTATTACTGCCATGATTGTTATTACTGTTATTAATATCATTTCTTTTGTTATGAAAATCATTGCTATTGCTTTAGATATCAATATTTCTATTGGTGTTATTTCTATCCCCATCTTGATATCATCATTGTCATTATTACTATTATTATAATTATCATCATTATCTTTATCGTTATCGTTACTATTGCTTTTATTATCATTATCAGTATTATTGGTATCATTGTATTATTGTTACCCTGAAACAAAAATTCCATAAAACTGACATGTTTTCCGGTTTGGAATTTGAAAACAAAGTGGGTGTTGGTACATTACAATTATCAATATTCAAAACATCCTTAAGAACCAAGTCATATAATTTGAATATGCACAGTATCATTTCCAAGAATAATTGATAAATTAAGGGATGATCTAAAGCAAAAAAAAAAAAACATATACCTTTTCATCCTATTGTTTACAAAAAATATATTTTAACCCTGCGAATCACTCCTTGTTGTTGAGGTTAGACTTGAATTAGATTCGGAGAATTACTTTTCTGTTATTTTTCTTTTGAAGTGACATTAGCTTCTCGAGAACAGATACTTTAAAAATCTCAGTTACTTAGTTGTTAGTAGAAGTACTTACATGGCACGCAAAGGAAAGCTTAGTGATATATAGGTTGATATCTTGTCGTCGCGAAATAGAACTCGAGATTTGACTTGATTTTCCCATATATTTTTACTGTTGCGTTTATGTTGTTGTTGTTTTTCTTATGTTTTTATATTTTTTTCCTTATATTCTTTTACTGTTTCGTTTTTATTCTAGTTTTTGTATTTTTTTCCTTATTGTTTTATAGTGTCATTTTTATTCTAGGCAATTCTATTAAATCAGCTATTGTTTTTGACTTTTGTTTCATCTAACCTTGTAATTAACATTTTTGTTCCAATTATCCACACTGCGTTATGTGTGAATCTGTTAGTTTCCATCACAAATGAGGTAATTTTTCACAATACCTTCGCATAACTGATTGCGACAATTTTGGTATCGTTGGATTTCTCTTAGCCTCTAGTATATATACATATATGTAGGGATTATGATGCAAACCTCTCATTCCTGGCCTTAATAGCAGGGGAGGGCATGAAAGGTACTAGGGTAAGCTAAGAATGCTACAATATAACAATAATAATGTAATGAAAATGATACCTCAGTATCCTGCTGAAAGCGGGAAAATACAACTCCTGTGGCAGCCTCCCTGGAGGAAGGCTGCAGATGGCACAGCCCCTGCATTAGATAATATAGTGACTAATTTTGTGTATACTATTCATATTTTACCTGGTGCAGTCTGGGACTAAAGTCCTCAGAAAGGTTTTACATGTTTGAAGCAATGTAATGAATCCCTACAACCCAACCCTGGCCTCCCTTCTTCCTCCATTCAGGAATCAGCCCCTTTACTACACAGCGATTGCAGCGCCATCTCTGGACAATAAACCAAACACACAAAACCTTTCCGAGGACTTTAGTCCCAGACTACCTTTCATGCCCTCCACAGCTATTGGGACCAAGATTGTTGCTTTTGGGAAGTGTCTGTGGCATACTTTCTATATATTTGGATAGAGAGTGAGAGGAATCCATTTATACCAAAATTGTGATTAGTTGTGCAAAGGTATTCTGAAAAATTCTGAGAAACAAAATAAATATATTGCGACAATAGCTGTGCAGAGACTAAGTTAGAAAGAAAAGATTTTTGGTTCTTATGCATTTATTTTTGGATTCCCAGGAGTGCCCCCAAGGTTAGCTGAAGTAATAGGGGCATAGCCTCAGAGGGGTGTGGTACCTTTATAAACAGTTAACATTACTTTTACTTATTTCCCTATAAGGTCTGCACTAACATTGGGGAAAATCTAGTGACGCTGACATAAAGAGAGAAAATAACTACACTCACTGATACTGGAAATAATCTGTATAGGCATAGAATAAAACCTAATGGCTGTGGACTGTGTCTGTGCGTGGCTGTGTATTTTTGTATTTTCCTATGACATTTTTTGCTTGTGCCATTTATATGTTGTTTGCTATTAGTAAGTGTAGTTATATCTCTTGGATAACAGTGCTGTTAGATTTTCCCCATGTTATTGCAGTCATTATATGAGTGTATTCCAAAGTACCACATACATTTTTCTCACCTTGTTATTATTCATTTGCAAAGGAAATATCAAGTGTTTTTAAATATTTTTGTTCTGTCTCTTACCTGCAAATTTTACCATGTACCATATGGTTGAATGAAACTAAAACTATATACCTATTATTATATCAGTAGGTTTAGAAAGTACTTTTGCATGAATTAAATTGGATTTACCTAATATATGATTCAAAAAATGGTTATAGAACAAAAGAAAGATATGTATTAATCTAGAATAGATCCTCATTGTAAAATCATAAAATTTGCTATCAGTTAATTTTTATGATGTCTTGTGTGCTTTTTTAGCAGATTTAGTTGGTTCTCAGCATTCTAGACTCAATAGATGGGGACAGTATTGAGGCAACCCAGGGAATTTGTAAAGTAAAATCCTCAGATTTTCAATATGATCAGAGTTAATTTATGTGGTGGTATGTGTATTTTGTTCTTGTCAGAGGGCACAATCCCTTCATATGGGGTGTTTTGCTTCTAACCCCCGCCATGAATGTAAAGTCTCCATCACATTTAACTGGTTCGCTAGAGACTTGACAGATGTAAATTATACTCCAGTGATGTAAGTAATCTAACAACTCAGATGAGATTGTGCCATTTCAAGGTAAACATCTCTAGGTGCTTGCCCACTCCCAGTTTCTTGTATAAATTAGGAGAGTTTTCTGCCAGATATATCTGCATTTTTATCAGTTTTTCTGACTAGTATAACGGTATTTAAGTACTGGACATGAGTTGCTTGATAATTTAATTCATTTTAACATGTGGTTATATTCTAGAAGTTCACGTATAAGATTAAAATCCATTTACTAGAAATCATGGTACTATGTACTGTTAATTTTTTTTATGATTATTTATTTATTATTATTTTTTTTTTTTTGGGGGGGGTTCATTTTCTACTATTGGTAATATTTACAACACCTTTATGGATCTGACCTCTGTTCCCTTATGCTAAGGCAGAGTATCTCCAACATTCATATTCATTGAAATTCAATGGTTTAATCAAGGCCAATGTTAGTTTTTACTATTGACCTTTTGTTAGTAACCCTTCCCCTTTTAATCTTGACAGTATGGATGCACTAAGCTAGGCCAAATTGCAGATAATATTCTCGTAGAAGACAAAATGTTGAAGATTTGGGCACAATAAATAATCTGCAGACATGAATGATATTGCCACAGATTTAGGGAAGAGATAGCGGAAAGTGCCGCTCACAGCGCAAGTCCACTTGGCGCTGATGAGTTTCAGCTCTATCTTGCCATACTTACTGAAGTGAAGACAATATTTACTAGGGGCTTAGGGCAGTCGGCATGCCCAGCCACGACAACTTATTGTTTGGAAAATAAATGTGTCATGGAGTCAGGAACTTCAACAAACATATTTATGGTTGAAGGGTATAAATCAAGTAAAATACTGTTGAATTGTGTCTTATTTAAGATTAAGATGTAAGATATATAGTAGTCTAGTAATGTATTCACTTGCATGGCATATAGTGTGCATATAGCTTGAACTGCATCTTTATTTGACTATAAACCCCCAGGGTGCATTACCAATGTAAATATTGTAACAGTGAATGCTTGTTTCCTTAATCTGTCTAGAACAAATACAGCAAACCCACATTTTCATGGTATGAGAACTGACTTCAAACTGCTAAGAAAAGTAAAACTTTGTGAAGCCTAAAACAACATTTGATGTGAAACTATCCTTGTATATGATTGCCCTGTAAATTCAAGAATGGTTTTCATTGATTATTGTGTATAGAAATGTATTTTTTCTTTTGATATATGACTTTTTCAAACATGTACACATTAGGTAAAAGAAATACATCTTTTTATTGATTGATGTGAAGGATGAAAGTTGAATTTGCTGCTGTGAGTATTATGTTATAACTTCTTTATTTTGAGTTTACATGATGTAGAATAATACCTCCAAGATTGTAGATCATCCACCACAGACCACAGCAAGTGTCAAATGGATTTGGATATGACATAAATACAAGACATAGTACTGTTTTGAAAGCCTTTGTGGGTGATTTGTTAACAGTTATCATTTGATTTCACAAACAGCGGGTGTTTGCTTCATGTACTATTATATGTGGTGTTTGATAGTATGTTGAATGCTCATTGCTCAGCACTTGTTTCCTGTTATTCATCCTTGTTATTGTTTTGTTGATGTTGGCATCTTGTCTTTCTGTCCTGTTGCCAGGGACTGCTTATTTTCTCTGTTGCTTTAACTCTTTTTTTAACATTTTATTATTATATTTTGAGACTAAAGCATATATGAAAATGTTGAAAATCAGTTCATATATTTTTTTTAAAAAGCAGAGTATTAATAAAGACTGATATATTTTACTTTACCCTACTCAAAGCAACAGGAAAACATTCTTAGACAATGCCATTATTATTTTCAAAGCTTATATTGATTCATTTACTGATGAATTAGAATTTCTAACTGTGAAGCTGATAGCAATTATCATGATACATGTAAATAACAAGTATAATAATTGCTCGTTTCTTGATTTACATGCATGTGCAGTTGAAGGTTGGTAGCACTATTAAAATTTAAAGTTAAAAGATAACAAGTATATTGTGGCTAGATAGAGCTTGAACTGGTTCCTTAGTTGACAATGAATTTCTAAGTTCTGCAAGCTATTTCATTCCAGATTGTATCTGGCAAAGGTTTATTGGTGTTGTCCAAAGTGGTGATTGATTGACACTGCAACACTGTCAGGTGGGAGTTCAGATTGTAGGTCTTCGATCACAGATCACAGCAAATTTCAATTGAATTTAAATGGAACCTTGCTCGAGTCATTTTGAAAATTGCTGTGGATTTCTTATAAAGTTTTACCAAAGACATATTGAAAAAAAGCTGTACATCTGATCATAGTTTTGATTTTGTCAGTATATTTTATATTTTCTTTTTTTCAGGCTCTTTTTTTGCGTCCTGCTCAGTTTGAGGATGAGTGAAGTCCACCAATATATCCTGGTAACCAAAAACAACTTGACGTCTGACCAGCGAAAGTTGTATGACTTGGTTCAAGCAGCTGGCATTGTGATGCACCCAACACTTTTCAAGTGAGTGGAGAAGTCTCATGGTAATTCTGCATTTAAAAAAGAATTACATACCATTTCTTTATTTGTCATGCCTATTTTTCTATATAGATATTAATAACTTTCAAATCACAATGTTGATAAGGCATATTTGTAACATCCTACATATGACCTCTTCCTCCATAACCACAAAGGAGCATCATGGACCTACTCAATGAGAAAGTTCCTCCACATGCTCTCCTAAATGTACTGAAGGAGCAGAGTGGAAGGATTCTCAATAGGAGCAACATCAGCAACGATAACTTCCTTCCAGAAGAATTCATAAATGGAAACATGAGATAGACAAACTTCTGATCTTCAGGGATGATTTCTGGTTATTGTGGAGTTTGTAAATGATCTTAATAGTTACCAAAAGGTTGAAAGCTTTAGTTAATTTAGTTTTTTTTTTGTTTCCTCTCCTTTCTCTTTTTTCCTCTCCTCTTCTCTCTTCTTCCCTGTCCTGTCCTCTTCTCTACTCTCTGCTCCCTTCCTCTTCTCAATCCATATTCTCCTCTTCTTCTCCTCTCTTCTCTTCTCTTCTCTCCTACTGCTTGTTTCAGAGAACTGAAATGGTTTCAGTCTCAATTAATGGTTCAAATATTGAATCTCAGATATAGTTTGATGTACCATTGAATAAAAAAAAGAATAATCATCATTTAAAATTGTTCTTTCTTAGATAAAGAAATTGTCAGTTACCCTCTGATATAAGAGAAAGCCTTTGGTTGAATTTTTAAAAGGCAGGTCAGTGTATTGCCAGGGAAATGTGAAAATATTTGTTTAGCTCCTGGAGCAAATGGTAAGAATTTCTAGATGAAAGACTAATGAGCATCTTGATGATAAGAATTAACACAGCTTTTGTTATAGAGTAGTAGAATGTGAGTAGTTTTTTGTACTGTCCATAAAATATACGGTCTTTAAAACAATTTTTTATCATTCACAAGCAAGTGCCAACAATATTAACACAGTATATCAGTACAAAGGTATTGAAGTGTAGATAATGTACCAAATACTATTTTTGAGAAGTGAGTATAAGATTTTTTAAAGATTAGATTTTAATAATAGTTCCTGCTAATAAAAAAGTACACAGGTATGTTGGCTAAATCTGAGGATAAAAGGGATTTACATTACCAAAAGTGTGTTTTAGGAATATTGATAATGGAGAATGTTGATATAGGTACTCATTTGTTTCAGAGCTTTATCATTTTTTATCTGATTGAATTGACTGCAAATAGCATAATTGTGAAATAAAAGTAGATTGAGTGTTTATAATAGTCATATATATATATATATACATATATATATATATATATATATATATATATATATATATATATATATATATATATATATATATATATATATATAACATATATTTTTTTTTATAATTACACTATTTTTTTTTATTGCAATAAGCATGTCAAATGATACATATAGAAGCTGATATTTTTTCCTCAACAGAGAAGTACACAAAATGAAAGCTTTAAAAATTATTGTCATTATTTCATATAAAAGGATACCTGCATAATAAAGAATATTTATTAATTGATTGGTTTTGCTTTTTCTTTTCCTTATTCACTGAGATGTATCTGCATTTTGTTTAAAGAAATATTTGATGATTACATTCTTTTATACTCATGAATAAAGAAAAGTCTTTTTACACAAGATCACCACAGAGGATATGGATTATTCACATAAGAAAGAAAAGGTAGAGAGATCATTTGACATTTTCCAAGTCATGTGCTTACTATTTGACCTTGTTTTAGTTAAGTTTGATCGCCAGTCCCATTTTATTGTGCCTAAATATATTCCTTGCTATTATTACATAATACTTGTCAAACAATTTTGATCTAATAAATAGTTTTGACAAACATTTCCCCCCAGTCTCATACCCGTTGTCATTGTGGGGGTGGGGGGTCTTAGGAGACGAGGCCCCTCCCAATCCCTTGCCCGTTGTTGTCGTGGGGAGGCTTAAGAGACGAGGACTGAGACCCAGTGCAGTGATCTCCTCTGCCTAGGGCTCAGCCCTCGACTCAACTAATTTTGCATGGTCTTTTCCCTCTCCAGCTTTTTGTTTCTGTCCCTTCTTCAACCCCTTCTACTATCTACTTCCTAAGATGTAAGAAACATGCTGAAAGGATGAAAGGCTGACCTTGTGCCAGTCCTGAACGGCCTGCGGGATTTATGGGCACGGTATTCCCAATTTAATTGTCTAGCCCTTACCTTCAAGCGAAAAGAGGTGGATCGTTTATACCACTTTATATAATCAAGGTTCCCCATGAGCAGTAATGAAGATGTAATCCCCTTATTAGGGGCAATGAGGCTTGCCCCTTTATCAAATAGCCCCACCCCAGGCTCCCCTTTGACCACGACTCCGAACACTGAAACTACTACCCACTCCTCAATGCCTACTAGTGCATTGCCCACCCAAGCAGAGACTTAATCTCCAGAAGACATTCCTACCCTCCCAACTTCCTCAAATGCATCAACTCTATCCCCACAACCTTCATCAAGCACCCCATCCTCCCTTATTACTACCTTACAGCCTTATTCTCCATCACTCCGCAATACTCCCTCTTCCACACGTCCCCGACCATCCACCATCACCAACCCTACAGATATCTTAAATACTCTGTTTAGCCCAGCTAAATGGGACCGATTTTTCGTGATCCCTTCTACACTCCTTGCTCAGGCAACACTCTTCTCTTTCAACAATGCCTCCAAAAACAAGTGGACAGAGTCCCTTTCTATACTAGACGCGATCGCTCCCGTCTTGTAAGTCAGATCAGAAACTGAATCTATAGCACTATCAAATTTAACTGATCATTCTGGCAACCCCATTCCTTGTACCGGAACTGTCTCTCTCTCCCAGCAAACTGCCCAGTCGATACCAAAGATTGGTCAGAATGTGGAGAAGACTTATTAGGATGCCTCAAAGACCAAGATGTGAAATCAGTACATTGCTACACCATTCCTCCTAGAGGTCAACGAAAGAATCCGACCAACATTGCCAAAATTACTTTCCGTACACATGACCTTCCCTTACGTATCTACATTGGTGGACAATCCCTCCCTGTTCGACCATACCAACCCCCTCCCCGTCAATGTTAAAACTGTTGGCGCTTTGGAAATCCTGCCAAACACTGCCGTTCCACATACCGATGCCCTATATGTGCCCAACCTGGTCATAACCGATCAAATTGCTAAGCACAAACACATGCGTGTGCTAACTGCGGCGGACCCCATAATGTATTTTATTTGAGGCTGTCCCACTTACAAGTTTGAATCTGAGGAGACAACTCTCAGATGCAAAAAAGGTCTCACTTTACGTGAAGCCAGACAGAAAGCACTTCGACAAGGTTTCTTTCATACTCTATACTCTAATAACATCGTTCGCTCAGCCCTTCACCCTCCACCTCAAGATGTCCCCATTTCCGCTTCTACATTCTACCTCCTTCAGACCAATTCTTTTGCCACTCTAAATCCAGACACCCCAACCTCAACCACAGCTCCAATCTCAACTACAGCCCCAACCACTTCTACATTCTACCTCCCGCAGACCAATTATTTTGCCATTAAATCCAGACACCCCAATCTCAACTACAGCCCCAACACCATCCCCTCTCCCTCTCCGCACTACCCGCAGTAGACAGACTAAACGTTCTAACCCTTCTTCCCCTACTGCACAATCACCTCCACCTACCTTTACCTTTATTCCTGAGACACCAGTCTCCTCTTCCCCCCTCATAAGAAAACCTTTGTCCCACAAAACTCTCCAACCAATTCCACTGCAGAAACAATTACCTTTATTCTTGAGACACCAGTCTCCTCCCCCCCCCCCTCATAAGAAACCTTTGTCCCACAAAACTATCCAATCAACTCCACTGCAGAAACTATGGATGGCATTCAAAGCTATTTGCTTGAGACAAGATCCCAAAACTCATGCTCCTTCTACTTGAAGTGATTGCCGATATTCATTCCCCTCCTACTCATATTCCCCCTACACCCCTTCCTCCTACTCCGTCTTAACACACCTAACACCCTAAATTCCGTCCACCACTGATATCCATCCTCCTAATATCCATCCCCCTCTTACTCATAGCACCCCTACACCCCTTCCTAAAAAGACAACACATCCCCTTCAACTCCAACTATCCATCCTTCCGATATCCACCCTCCTACCACTAATACTCCCCCACACCACTTCCTCCCAACACAACCCACCTCTTCAATCCCAACTATACGCACTTTCTCCCTCCCTACATCCCCTCTATCCTTTCCACTCCCTCCCGGATACACACGGGAATCACTCATGTCACAACAGTGCCCTTCCCCAGATTCCCTACCTCCTGATACCCCTCCTTTACACCCCTAGCTCCTCCCCCCCCCAGATTCCCCAATAGGTACCGACACTTTCACTCATAAAATGACTAAGATATAACTCTCCTACATTGGAATATTCGCAGCTTCCGTTCTCACAGACCAGACCTACGTCATATCCTTGCTTCTTATAATCCGTCTATTATCTGCCTCCAAGAGACTTTCCTCACTCATCTTATTCCAATTCCCAATTACCATTTTATCTATTCCCCACACTCCGTTTATGTCTCGTCTATACTTATCCATCATAAAAACACCTTAATATCCTCCACTTGATCTAGCTTCCTTACCTAAACCACCATAACCCTTTCCCTCATCAACTTTTACCCAACTTCAACCTTTCAACATTACTCTTAAGATAGTTGACGCATAGCAACTATCACCTGACATCCCCCTTTACTAAACCTTCCTATAGTGCTATATGACCTTAGATGTCTAGCACATTTATTTTGCTTTTAACCATTAACCATTAGGAGACGAGAACTGGGGCCCGGTACTGGAGATCTCCCCCTATCTCGGGTCTCAGCCCTCAACTCAACTAATTTTTCACGGTCTTTTCCCCTCCTGCTGTGACAAAAGGGAGTCGAGTGTATCCATAAGGGAGTGGAAGGGATAATAGGGAAAGAAGGGGGGGAGTATGTAGATTAAGCAGAGGGGATGGGATGTGTTGGGAGAGAGGACAGGCAATATGGGAACATGAATAGGAGAATGTCGGCAGTCACTTTGAGTATAGAGGGAACGGGGATAGATAGACTGGAGGATGGATGAAGTATAGCATGTTATATTGGGTCACAATTACATGGTTTTGAATGTCATGAAGAGTTTCTGAGGTGGAATTGGTTGGGAAGTCTGAGAAACAGGTTTTCTTATGAGGGTGGGGGGGTGGGGGGGTTAAGGGCAGAGGAAGAGGTAGATAGGAGAGGATGCAGTTGAAGCTGGTGTAGAACATTAAGATTATCGGATGCTATGCGTAAAGCGAGAAAGAAGAGGGTAGGGACCGAGGAAGTAGAGACTGGAATATCTGGATACAGAATAGCAATAGAATTTGACTAGGAGAGGGAGGGGTACAAGTGGTAACATAAGGAGTAAGAGGAAGAGATTTTTGGGGAGATGTAGAAACATGTTGGCGGAGAGGCAAAGGGAAGGACAGCCCTGGAGTAGGGAGCAAGAGAAAAAATACCAGCATCACGCAAAGTGTGGCCAATTTAAATCTGTGGACTGCTACCTCAGACTCGAACTTGTAGGTAGGGCAGCCCCTTTAAGATACATTATGGGACCCGTTACAAATGGCATATGTGTGATTGTGCGGTGCAGTTTGATGATCACGGCCAGGTTGGGCACAGGTGGGAATCATTGGTCTTTTTTCGGCTGTTTTCGTCCATCTTGCCGAAACTGAGTTAAATGCATTTTCAAGGAAATCCTAGGGCCTCCGGTTCTCCCCTGAAAATTTCAAGTCCCGACCTTTATTCTTTAGGTGGTAGCAACCATTTTCAATGTCGTCTGAAATATTATTTTTTTCAAGTTACCTTAGAAAATCGGCAATTGTGACGTAATGACTAGATATAATAAAAAATTATCTATTTTTCTGAAAGCTTAATAAATTTCACATGAGGCCCACCTTCATTTTTTTCGGAATAATTAATACAATCTGGCAAGCGTCCAAAAAACGATAATGAAGGAATTTTTCATACAAATATATAAACATAATATGCCGTTCATAAGGACTATTTTATTTTCTTTATGTTTTCATTATACATAGTTTGATCGATTAGCAAAACATTTCGAAAATGCAAACCTCCCCCCCCCCAAAAAAAAATGGGGATAGGATTGCCAAATGATCCGGATCACCACCAAAATTTTATGGAATATTAATTAGGCTAAT